CTCATAAACTCTTGTGTTTTTCATCCTTGTCTGTATTGTAAACTAGCTGTACAAGAAATGCAAAACAATGAAAATGAGATTAAGAAAACAAGTTTTAATAGTAAAAATACAATAAAATGAACACCAGATCTTGAAGCTTTGTACTCAGTTGCAGGGTATGTGTGGGTTTGTCCCCTTTGGTTCCACATTTGGACCCCAAAATATATAGTTAGTGGGCGTGTTTAGCCGTGCACTTTAATGCGCATTAGCCTATTTTAATGAGCATGAAAGCATCCGAAACCCCCCCCATGCTCTTTAGCTAATGTGCATTAAAACAGGCGAATGCATATTTTTCTAGTAGCTCACAAGGGAGGCACTAGATTTAATGAGCATTACCTAAAGCACATTAATTAACATGTGGACATGCCCAATAAATCCCACTTGAGTCTCCTAGCTGAGTTAAACCATATGGAAGCTGAGGGTAATCAGCCTGAAGGTGATTTTCCCAACTACAGTTATGAGTGGCCAAGCTGAAAGGTCACTGAGATTTGGTTTGGGTAATGGCACAAGAATTTAAATAGCTTTTAACTTTAGCAAAGGTGGCACCTCCTGCAGTGAAATGCATTCTCTTTGGTTTGGTTTGGCTTGGTGTAGGCAGGGTTTTGATTACAGGGGGCCTGAGCCCACCCCTACCCCATAAGAGATGAAGGGCTCCCCATAAGACATCAGAACCCCCCCAAGGGCTGCTCAGCCCCTGGCCCACCCCACGCCTTGCTAAGCAACCTGAGTCAAAGTGTAATGCAAACCCTGTGTGTACATAAATGATTACTTCCCTAGCTATAACCTGGAATAAAAGTAATCATCTTTTATTTAACTTTGTATGTTTATTTAAAAGGATTAATCTACTACTAACGGCAATCCGAACTGGACGTCCAAATGTTACAGGCAGCTTTAAAATCTGAGCCTCGGTCAAACTTTTTTCTATCCCATACAAAGCACCTTTCTGTGAGCTAACATTGAGCTGAGTCCTTTCGTGATACCTGATTCTTGTACCTTGACTTTCAGCCTGAAGCCTCCCCAAAGGGCTCACTCCACCCTCGCCCTGGCCTAGGACCTGCGGCAGGACAGATCCTCTCCCTGCTCGTGCAGGCTGCCCAGTCCTGGGGTGGGGGGGGAAGGGAGGCAGGTGCTCTCAGCTGTGCCTCATAGATGTGGGATTCCTTTTTTTTTTCATATGCCCCATTTTCTCCCTATTTCAAGTCAGAAACCTCAAAATATTGTACATGATTCATACTAATGCAACTTCGTTCATGCTGATCCTCTGCCCATCAGGCAATACAGCTGTCAGGCTGCAGACCAGCAGGAGATCTACCTCTCCTCCCCACCTCCATCTCCTGCTTCCTCGAACCAGCTGGGCGCGTGCCCACCCTCCAACCCCCTCTGGTACTCTGCCTTCCTCTCCTTTCTATGCTTTCTGTTGTTGCTAGTACTTGTTATGACCCCCACATCCCCCAATCATTCCCGACTTCTTCACCCTCCAGGGTACTATCTCCTCTCTCCCTGAACTGTATTAGCTAAAAGCTGGGAGGGAGGGTGTGAGCATTCGATCATTTCACTTCATTCACCCTGAAAAGTGCACAGTCTATTCTTAACTGTTCCCCCAAGAAATAAAGCACACTTTCAATTGGGGTGTCTGCTAATTCGCAGTGATCGGAGTCCCCTAATGAAGATTCGCACTCCTGAAGCTGCGTCTCCCTGCTCTGCTTTAGTCCATATCGGTCTCTGCTTTTCCGTCACCAGCTCCTGAGCCGGGAGATATGGGAGCCTTCTCTGTGACTCTGCTCCAAGGTGTCTGCTCCCTTTTGGACAATGGTGCCTGTCAATAAAGGATCACAATTGGATCCCCAGTTGTCCTCGCTCTTAAACTTCACCTCTGTTTTGATTCCCTGGTGGTGGTTGGATAGGTGCCCTAGCCCTTAAAGGTTAGTCCTCATTGGAAGTGCAGAACTTCCCCCGCCCCAATCTGCAGGAAATACCAGCATCCCCCTTCCCCATAGCCGATCTCCAGCATTTCCTCCAGCTTATAAGCATGGTTCCTTAGTGGGTTCCAGATGTCATCATCCAGGGGCACAGCCTGATCTCTGGTGTGTTTAACTTGACCAGTTGCCCCTTGAAATGACAGAAGTTTGGAAATATTGTGAAGTAAAAGTCACTGAATGAAGTTGGTGCAGAAGCCTGTGTGAGGTGCCCAGCTAATTAGCTCTATTTAGCTGTAAGATCAGCAAGGGAGAACGGCTTTGCGAAGACAGCAAATATTGTCCCTCCCTTTGTGTGGTCTGTGCTTGTGCTGTGTCAGGATGCTGCTTGTGCTGCTGCAGATTGTGCATCCCCTGAAGACCTCAGGGGGGCAAGAATGACCCCAGGCTGGACCTGCTGACAAAAACTGAGCTAAATTTAATACCTACAGGGCGCATCTACACATGCAATTAATGCGACTGAATAAACTACGGTACAATTTGCATCAAAGTAAACTAATCCAGACATCACTGTCTACATGTCAGTTTAACTGCAGTAATTTACTCTGCCATCAGATAGTATTTGTGTCTGATGGGACTATCTGACAGCTCAGTAAATTAGACTACTCCAGCCTAATTGCTGCACCTCTGTAGACAGTGACACTTTACTGCACAGCAAATTAGTCTGCTGGTCAGTAAAGCTCATGTGTAGACAGAACCACAGAGAACCTCCTTGTGCTTGTGCCTACCTCCCATGTCATATCCCCTAGGCCTTACACAAGATCCCAATTTTCCCCAGCTCTTCTTTAGCACAGCTCAGGCCATGTTACTGAGCAAAACACTTTGCCTAAATGAAACTGTGTGTTATATTCCACGGACATCTTGGCCTGTCCTGTATGTTGTGCCTGTTAGCCATCCTAAAGCATTTTTGACCAGCATGGCACCATCTTGTGCTCAGTGTGCCTGTCCCCATTACTTCCTTTTCTGACAGCACTGCACTTCTTGTACTGTTATTTTATTATTCTACACCAGGGCTCTCCAGTTTATTTGGACCCGTGGGCCATGAGCCTCATCTCCAGGAGCAGGGCGCTGGCTTCTCAGTGCAGCTGCTGGCCTGCCGTGCTGGTGCGGCTCCAGAACCCAGGAGGTGAATGGTGCCACCACTTGCATTCCCCATCCCTCCTATCCCATGTCTGCTGCAGCTGGTTTGAGTTGCCAGCCGTGACAGAAGACCCCAAATTTGGCAGGAGGTAAGAGGGTGGGGAGGGGGGCGAATGGGCAGCAAAGCTCACCCCCCGGGTCCTGGAGCCACATCAACACAGCAGCCTCTGCAGCAATGCAGGCCACAATTGAACCCTTTGCTGGCTGCATGTAACTCATGGGCCACCCCTTGGACAGGCCTATTCTAAACCGGCCGGTACCAGCCTTATCAATTAACCATGTGATGAATCCATACCGCTGTACTCCACAGTAAGCGTGAGTAAGCAGTTCATGCTATCAATCAGGCCTACGGTGTTCAATGCTTCAGAAAAGCCTGAGCGGTCTACTAATCCATGCTTGTATGACCCCATGCTCCCGTATGGTCCACAGGAACTAAGCATGTCTATCTCACTTGGTTGATGCGAGGATGCAATGAGTTCATGCTCAGCACCTTGGACTGATGTCAAAGGACAGGTCTTGATGAGGATCTTGCCTGGGCTGATCTCATAGCAGGAGAGTGTGCGAGGTGACTTTCTCGCAGCAATGCCCTGAGTGATGAACTCAGCTCTTTCTGAGCTGGAAGAACAAACTGGAGTGTCGCCAAGTTCAGGAGGGCTCAAGCTGGGGGCTGATTTCAAGGCAGGAGCCTCCGGGCACACTCACCTTGCACACAAACCTGGTAGAGTGGTAGCAGGTCTTAGGCCTGTTTGGAGTTCAGGGATCAGCCTGAAAAGGATTTTAAGACGTGGTCTCTGTGACATGGGGAACTTGTGCTGAAGCCCAGCCCTAGTCCTTGTGCTGTTCCTGGTCTGCTTTCTCTAGTCCTGTGGGCTTGAGCCCTATGGCCTTGGCAGGCTGCGGTCTGAGGTTTCCAGATTAGAAGGGAGCTCCGAATGGAAGACAATGAATAGGATCCTGATACTTCTCCCCTTCCTCAAAGCGCTCCTCTCATTGGTATCCCGTGCTCTTTACTAGGATCCACAGGGTCACAGGCAGGGTAAAGGGTCATTGTGTCAGGAGGACTCAATGTCTGTCATTTAGTAGAAAGAAATACCATGTCTGGTAAGCAAGTCTGATGCATGTCCTAGGATATCATGACTTCTGACAGATTAGTATGAAACCAATGGGGAAAGCCACAATTTGTCGACGTTGTTAAAGAAAGTCACAGTAGTTGGAAACAGGCTTCTAATGACTGAATAAAAGAAGACCTTCTGTGATAACTTCTGGGTCAAAGCTGGGAAAGCAATATGAAAAACCAACAGTGTGGCTAGCAGTCTTTCCTCCCCCCACCCCAGTGAAAACCCTACTTCTTTGTGGCCTTTTTGTGCTAGACGAGAGAAGATTGCATGAGAGAAGATTGGCAGATTGACTTTGGTATGAGAGTATCTCCAAAGCAGCATGCTCAGTGCACACACAAGTATATTTGGGGTTGTGTTTTTAAAGCAGTTCATGAATTCTTTGCCCAGGGACAGCTTCTAGGACATAGACATGAGACTCTGGCTCAGATTTGCTTGTCCAGCTCACCAAGCACGATGGCATTTTTAATTGAAGAAATCTCTTGAGCATAATTATAGCAACCGATACTAACTTCTGCCTGCCTGCTGTCAATTCACAAGTCCTTATCTGTGTGTGCATGCATGCATATGCCTGGCACAGCTTCCCAGTGCTGCTATCCAGCTGGCTTTGAGCAGGAACAATCATGTTATCTCCAAGCATGCCTCGATGAGTCTGTTTGGGATTACGACCTGTGTTCTGCACTTTTAGCCATTCTTCAAACTTTGCTGTGACTTTGTCAATAGACTTTTAATCCCCATCCTTTTTAAAAAAAAAAAAAAAAATGAGAACATTAACATTTTTTTCCAAAAAAACTCAAAGTATTAAACCAGGAGATAGAGCTAGCTGGCATGTCTTTGTCAGATGGATGTGAATTCTTCCCGCAAACAATGCCTATTTATAGCTTGGAATTGAAAATGTCAGCCATGAGAAGCCGTGGAACCAGATTGTCAGCAGCAATTAGGCATTAAAAACCAAACCAACAGACAATCTGAAGGAAAGCAGACAATGACAAAAAGAAGGGACAGCACATTACTGCCTGGGGCACTTGGAAATCTGCACCCGGAGGCTCTAGCGAGACAGACCCACAAGGAACAGACTGATTGATTGCCTGGCATCAGGGGAGAGCTGCTGAATATGGGTGCCCTTCAAAACACAAATGAAGGAAGGTAGGCAGCCAATTATCTTGCCTTGTTCTCTCTCGTTTTTCGTCCGCTTAAATATATGCAGAGAATGTGCGGTATTCCTTATAGCACATACTGTTTGCCATTGGAAATTAAGCTAAACATAACCCGAGAGATTAATTTTGGTTTCTTTGTATTTAAGGTGGTGGGAAGTGATGAGTCTAAGAAGAATCAGAGGCTCATGACTGGATGGAGACCTGAGGAGTGTGCTACGGTACTTCTCTGTCAAGAAATGATTCGGTAACAAACTGTGATGACCTGGCAGTTGTCAATTCTGTCTTGTTTGGTTCAGCTCAGACTGATGCTGGGCCTAAATAAAGGCAACCGGAGTGAAAATGCTTTACCTCTTATTGGACTTGCAGTGTTCGGGGTGCAAGGCACGAAACACATAGATTTTTTTTCTCTGTGCAAACCCATTGACGCTTGAGATTGGGACTTGGGCCTCTCGCTGAAGTCTGGTTTTCTTTAGAAGCTCAGACTGGAGCTGGCTAAATTCCTCTTTCCCAGCTAATGGAAGTAGAGAGATTCAGCCTGGCTAGGTACTTTACTGGCATCTCGTGAGATGTTGTTAGGGATCAGTAGTGCTCCAGAGACCTTTATCTGAAATCTCAGCCTACTAATTCCAACAACCCTGTCCTGTGCAAAGTTGTGAATATTGGCATGTGACAAGACAGGGCCATGTCCCCCCTAAGAGCATGCGGGAGGTAGTGATTGGGGCTGGGGCTGGGAAAAGATGCTCAGCTGGGATGGGGGACGTGTTACTCAGGGAGGGGGGCAAAGGGGCGTGGGATGTGGGCGCAGCAGTGCTGGGAGCAGGGGCTATGCCCTGATGCCTCCTCCCTGTGCCGGCTGGGCAGAGGCAGGAGGACAGAGCCCCCACACCTCCCACCACTGGGGCAGAGGCAGGAACAGCTGGTGGAGCTGTGGGCGAAGCCCCCATGGTTGCTCTGCCCAGCTCCGTCCCCTGCCCAGCCCAGCCTCCCAGCACTTAAAAAATAAATAAAAGCCCCTCACTCACCGGCTCTGGCAGCAGTGATTGGGGTCTCTGGGTGCTTGTGGCAGACCCCCCACCGTGCAGTGCGGGGCAGTGGGGATCACCCCCCATGCCTGGCACCCACGTGGCAGCTGGCCCATGGTGCAGGTGCAGCGCGGCTCAGCAGGGCGCCATGCACCGGCTGCAGGAGCGGTGATTGGGGCCTCTGGGCCCTCGTGGCAGAGTGCCCCATGCAGCGCGGGGCAGTGGGGAGCAGCAGGGATCCCCCCACCCCTGCCTGGCACCCACTCTGCAGCTGTTGCATCGTGCCGGTGCAGCACAGCTCGGCAGAGCCTGGCAGCACTCAGCCCCAGCGGCCCCAGCTCCCAGGCAGCACACGGCACCCTGCTGAGATGTGCTGCATCCGTGCCATGGGGTAACCTGCCACACAGGTGCCAAGCAGGTGGGGGGCGGTGATTCCTGACGCCCCCCACTGCCCTGCACTGTGCAGGGGAGGCTCTGCCATGAGGCCTAATCGCCACTCCTGCTACCAGTGAGTATGGGGCTTTTTTTTAAGTGCTGGGGCTGGGCAGGGCATGGGGCCAGGCAGGTCAGGCATGGGGGCTTCTCCCATGGCTCCCTCACCTGGGGAGAACCCTCTGTCTCCCCCCTTCCCTCTGTCTCTCCCTTGTCTCTATCTCTGTCTCCTCTGCTGTCCAGAGGCAAAACCTGCCCATGGCATCCATAGCTGACACCACTGCCCTCCCAGCATGGGGGAAGCTCACGCTCGGAGCCCCGATGCCAGCAGCATCAGGTATGGACCCAGGCAGGAGCTGTTGCTGCACCAGGTAGGCAGTGGCGTCAGTTGTGACTGCTGGCAGATTCTGCATCCAGGCTCCTGAACCTACCAGCAGCATCCACAACTGATGCTGCTGCCCACCTGCTGTGGTAGAAGCCCTGCCCAGGTCCACAGCTGATGCCTAATGCTGCTGGGTGGAAGCAGGCCCACTCACCCTCCCAGCACCATGCAGTGGCTGGAGCCACCAGCCACCCGTGGGCTGGATCAAATCTGTTGGCAGCCTGGATCTGGCCTGTGGGCCATATTTTGCCCACCCCTGTTTTGGGGGATGGAGTGCAGGCAAATATTGAAGTACTCTGATACTAATCCAACCTCCCTGTGGGTAGGTAAGCAGCACTTATACAAAGTTAGCTGTGTCAGTGGCATTTTGGGGCACTTACACAGATTTTGGCAGCTGCACCCTTTTACACAACTGTCCTTGTCCTTCTGCATATGCACATACTACTTATGATCTGTGTAATACAGAAAATACTTGGCCACCTTGGAAACAGACTTGGAGAGCCTCATCAGGATGGTGTTGTATATGTATTACAAAACATCTTCAATCACTGTAACTTTAACATTGCTTTCAGTTTCCATTTGGAGGTTAGAATTCAAAACCAGCATTATGCCATGACCAGTAATTGACATAAAGGGTAATTTATTAGAGCAATCTATGGTAAATTTTCAGGGACATTAATTAATTTTCAGCTGGATTAATCTATAGAAAATGGATGCAGAAATGCAGTAGGGTTTCCATCAATAAGTTTCTATTGACACAATACTGCCTATGAGAGCTAGCGGTTGCATCTCGGTTTTGACATTGTTTTCCCCCGCTCGGGACATGCTAAGTTTTTCCAGGTCTCAGGAAAGTCTGGGAGTTTGGGAGGCTGAGACTGTCTGTCTGTCTTTATGCAACAGGCTCTATTTTTACTACTAGCTTGGCAAGCTCCAAAAGGAGTAGAAATAGTTTTGTAGCCATTCTTTCAAGTTGACAGCAACTTTATTTTCCTTCTGCCCGTGAATGCCATTTTATATTAAACTTCATGTCAGCACTAGGCGACTCAGGCGTATTTCAACAGAACTTCATTAATCCAAGTTTAACCTTCATAACCTCTCCTATCGTATAACATAAGATCACCAAACCCATAAAGTATGTAAGACATTTGGCCCTGAAAATGCAATCAACCTGTCCCAGGGGATTATGTAAGGAAGCTTAGAGAGAGAGAGAAAAGGTAGGATCCTTGGCTATACAAGTGTAAATCCAGAGCAACCCCTTTGAAAATAATTGTCTTTTGCAGTGTCACTATGCCCCCAACAGATGCTCCATCCACATCACTGCTTCTGTTAAACCCTCTGCATGGAGCCCCTCCCAGGCTGCCCCAAATAATTCCCGGAGAGGAAGCAGGGTATGACCTCCCACAAAATGGCCCACCTTCAACCCTCCATATCCATGGCAATTAGGGCCCATGTCTGCCATATTGGATTCAATCTTCCAGCATTGTCTCCCTCGTCTTTGTAGCTTTCCTAAGACTTCCTGGGCCATAGTACTATATAGCAGTCCTCTCCCACCAAGGAGGGACTGCATTGGAAATGTAACACAGTTTAGGGCACTGTTCCAGTCTCAGCGCAATGTTTTTGGGATGTGTGGGAGAGGGGACTGGACAGTATGATCCTGGCCCATTTTCTCCCAACCAGCTTCTGCAATCTGTTCTTCCTTTGTAATCTTCCACAAAGACCCTTGCTATCTCCCAGAGAGTCTTCTGCAAGGCTCCAACCAGGGGGAAGAGTACCAGAGGGAGAGAGAGGGCACATCTACACATGCCAAAGGAAAGAGGGTGCATCTACACGTGCAATTAATGCATCTGAATTTTCTGCGCAGATAATTCAGGGTCATTAAAGTGCTCCCGGGTGCACATCTACACATGCACCCAGGTCGAAAGCAAATTGAGCCTGGCAGGAGCAGTCCGGTCCTGCTCTGCGCATCTGAAGCAGCCAGGGGGAGCTCCAGGCTCCCCAGGTGCCAGGCCTGGGCTGACAGGGGGTACAGGGGAGGGTGGAAGGAGCTATCCCCAGTTCTGGGGCCAGCTCCCAGCCATGTATAGCTCAGAATTGCAGCCTGGTTCAGCAGTGCTCCATAGCCAAGCGGCAGCAATATCCTGATCTCTCTCCTTGTTTTGCTTGCAGGGGGTCGAGGAGGCTGGGATGAACTTTCTGGATCAGCCTGTCATCAAGAAAGGTAAGGAGGTACTGACTGCTCAGCAGCATTGGGCCTTGCTCTGGTGTCTGGGGCCAGTTCTCAGTGAGTGCCACCCTCTGTGCCTTGGGGTCACTCTGCCTACCAAGGCACTTGGCCAGGAGGAGAGCTGAGATGAGCTGGGATCCCCCAGCCCATGCTCTGGCTCTTGTCCAGTGCCAGTGGAGGTGGAAGCTCAGCAGTGCCAGGACCAGAGGGACATGCATCTCCTCCCATGTAGAGGAAGATGGGGCATCTGGGGGTGCTGTGCTGTGGTGTGCCATGGGGTTTAGGCTGAAGTATCCCGGCTCATAGCTGCCCTTCCTCTGGCAGAGTGCCTTGGGCAGAGCAGCCCCAAGATGCAGAGGATGGCACTCATCAAGAGCCGGCCCCAGACACCGGAGCAGGGCCCAAGGCTGCTGAGTGGGTAGACGCCTCCTCACCTTTCTTGATAACAGACTGATCCAGCAAATTCATCCCGGCTTTCTCCACTGCCTGCAAGCAAAGTTTGGGGAGAGATCAGGGCAGTGCTGCTGCTCAGCCATGGAGCATTGCCCCAAGTCAGGCTGTGATCCCCAGCTCCATGCAGCTGGGAGCTGCCCCCAGAGACAGAGGCAGCTCCCACCCCCTGTCAGCATTTACATGTGCACTTTGATGCATTAGTTTTTTTCCTAGTACCTGTAGGTATCGGTACTAGCAAATGGCACATTAGACTGATCTAATGTGCAGCAAATGCCATCTGTAGATGGTGATGTTTTACTGTGCATTAGATTAGGCTAATGTGCGGTAAAGTGTCTCATGTAGACACAGTCAAAGAAGAATGATCTCAGCCCATGGGATAGCATGTGCGAAATTCTAATTACATGAGGCTGCATGACAGAGGGGAACATGCATGAGTCCACTTGCACTCCCTCTCTCTCCCTCTCCCTCTCCCTCTCTCACATGCGCACACACACACACACACACACACACACACAACTTTGA